CTGAGGATCCCCCGGGAGCTGAAGGCAGCATTATTGGCCCTGAGGTGGCTGAGAGCACGACTCCACACGGGTATTAGGGGACGGACACTCCAGTACCAGACGGACAGCCAGGCGGCGCACTTCTGCCTGCTAGGCCAGAGAGGCGCGAACGAGTGCCTGTTCCTAGTACGGGACCTCTTAATGGAGAGCGCCGAGGCCGGCTGTGAGGTAACACTGACTTGGATTCCACGCACCGGAGCCATGCAACAAGAGGCCGATCGGATCAGCAAGGAAAGCGACAGTGGGCAGTGGACACTGGACGACGACGTGTACGAGTGAGTGGTTAGTCGCCCATGCCTGCAGGGCCGACGACCGACGGTAGACTGCTTCACGGATACCACGAATGCCAAGGTGCCGGGGAACTTCTATTCGCGTACATGGAACCCAGGGTGCAGGGGTGTCGATGCCTTCGCGCAATCTTGGGTCCTGGGGGAAAACAACCCTAGGCCATTGTTGTATATCAACGCCCCGTTCTCTCAGGCAGGCAAGGTGCTGAACAAAGTGCGGAACGAGCGACCAGACTGCATTGTCATTCTCCCGGTGTGGCCACGGTGGTGGGTGGCCCTACTCAAGATCTTGCCGGTCGTGGAGGAGTGGGACCTGCCGCTCGTACCCCACCTATTCCGGCCGGGAGCCTTGGCACGGGCGCCGGGTGCCAGGAGTCCCCGTTACAAAGTGCGGGCGTACTTCATTCTATGGCGACCATGAAACAGCGGGGAGATCGACGGTCACGCGGAGGCAACAATAAGGGAGGGAGAGGGGCAGGAGTGGCCAAGGTGGAACAACACAGGACATCGGCATGACCCCAACCGGAGAGGAGCAACGCGGGGCAAACATAGATGACTTATAACGTGTGCCCGGGTGCACCACCCGGGGGTGGTCTGGGGGACGCGGAGACGAGAGTGAGAGAGTAGAGCTACGAAAGGGGGAGAGTTTACGGTGGGAGCAAGAATAAGGCGAGGCAGAGAGGGGGGCGCGCGGAGCGCGGGTGGCTGGGGGTGTTTTAGGTTGGCAGGGGGATGGAGGGTGGGACGCCGTGTGTGGTGCGTGGGGCTCGCTTAGGCGGAGAGCGTTACAAAGGTTGTAAGTGAGCCCTTCGTATCATACGGATGCTCGCCCCAACTAATCCGGCCCTTACGGTGGCGGGCTCTTTGACTTCAGAAATGCCAAATACAGAAGTACGGAGGGCCCTATGCCAACCACGGATATCACACCAGGACGAGACAGTCCGAGTTTTGGCCATTCCAGCACAGAATGCAGAGTCAGACAACAGGTACCAACTAAGCTTTATTAAGACGGATTACAGAAAATAGACGACGAGAAAGACTAGAAAAAGTCGAGGTCGCCCTCCCTCCCCACCCTCGTGAGACAGGACCAAACATGCACAGACTTATCACTCATCATCACTCTCCGAAACCACCAGCCCCGTCCCCGTCCCGCCGGCCGGGAGGCGGGCGAGGTGCCTAGTAGGATCCAGATAGCGGTGCAGAGTACCCAGAGAGCGGATGTGTGCGGAGCGCATGAGATCCTCATCAGAGACCCCCTGAGACTGGGCATGCTGCAAAGCACCCCGACGAAAACTGTGCACCGTCTCTCCACCGTATAGCCCAGCAGCGGTAAGATGAGCGACGAGGCGATATTCCAGGGCCTCGGTCGTCATCGGCGCCTCCCGATAGGCGCGGCCACTGCGCTCCGCCGGACGGAAGAGGTATTGGGTAATAGGGGTACCGGCCCTCGTACACGTGCTCATGTACACTGCAAGAACCCGCAGCGCGCAGACGAGAGGATCACGATCCGGACGCAACATCGTCGCAGGAGCACGCTGACCCTTGTACGTCTTGGTATTTAATTCTTCGATACGTAGTACAGTGTCGGGAGAGACACTCCCGTCAGGCGCGGGTAGGGGTAACGGCCAGCCCTGGTACGCGGTACGGCCATGCACCGGATCCCTGAAATCACTTAACACCAGCTTGCCGACATCATGACCGCGCTGATACGTATGCCACATTAAAGCAAATAGAGACAAGTCCCGAAGCACCAAACTGCGAGCAAACAAATGCTCTTCGTCGCCGGACGCAGTCCACAGATGGCAGGCCAGGCGACGAAACTTCTCCGCGGTCAAAGGGATGGCGCCTCGCTCCACATAACCGGCGTCACTAAGGTCCCGCCCGTAACCCTTGACATAGCCCCGCACCAATGAGCTGTCGCAAGGATTCCCGCGGCTTTGAGAGGCGTCATAGTCCCCTTCCCGGCCCAGCTGCTTAAAGGCAGTCGCAAGGCTCGAGATAACCCCTTTCACAGCACTGGCGCTGGGACGCCGGTCAGCCCGCAGACGCCCAGGGTGCCGGGGGAACCACCATTCCACCAGATACGAAACAATGGACATAGGATCGCAGGTGAGCAAGGTGAGCCCGAGAGACTGGCGCTGCAACCAGCCATGGAATTCTCGCGCAGCACTTTGAACCCGCCGTCAGCTCTCCGAGACCCACTGACGTTGGTGCACCTGGTAGATGGAGAGCAAGGCGGCCGTGAGCGGCGGCCGCACTGACACGTCCCCGGTAAACTCAGAGTAATACAGAGCCGCGACAGGGTCTAAAGGCGGCGGCGCCGACCTCGGGAGACGGATAGGGCCCGCAGCAAGCGGAGGCATGGCAGGGAGAGGATTACCAGGAAAGACCTGCGGTGATAATAGAGCCGAGGCGTAGGACGCACTAAGCTGACGGACGTCCATCGAAAACAGACAAAACGTACCAGCGGCAGGTGTAACGGCGGGACGATGAGATCGTCACGCACAGGCGTAACGGTAACGAATCGATGAGTAGACGAAGTAAGTGGGTCTTGGCCCCACGGTAAGCCGCCAGGTACGAGAGGAAACATAATGCTAACGGGTACTGGCGATAACACGATTACTCGATTCAGGAACACGGAAAATTATTACAATAAAACGGGGCGCGATCGCGCTTCCAATAAATTTGGATATCACCGATAAGGGCCTAAATTCGTTCGTGCGTGGTGCGTGGGGCTCGCTTAGGCGGAGAGCGTTACAAAGGTTGTAAGTGAGCCCTTCGTATCATACGGATGCTCGCCCCAACTAATCCGGCCCTTACGGTGGCGGGCTCTTTGACTTCAGAAATGGCGAGGGCGACGGAGGCCGCGCTGAACGAAGCCTTTTTTCCCGCCGCCGCGCTCACGTCGGCGGTCGAATTCTGTCGGCGTTTTTGCGCTCTTCCTGAAGAGCATTGAGCACTAAATAATGTGCACATAGTAGATACTGAAATTTACTTGGTTGCAGGTATGACTATCCCGATGTTATGAGCATTCAGTTGGATGACGGCGGCGGCTCGTCTACGTTCCTCTTTAACACGAGTACTGCTGATGTCGTTGGAGATGGCTACGACGCTTTGGGTAATCAGTATATTGTTCTAAGGTTCGTGGCATATTTAACACCCTCGTACATGAATTGCTTCTACATCTTGTTCGAGACGTACTGTACATATTCATCTACCTCATGCATGTGCGTAAATCAAACATGCACTGCAGCTGCGGCTCATGTAAAGCAACAGCACCACTACCAGTATCGCAGCAGCCATGCGTCCAGCAGGGCCTCTACATATTGAGTGAAATCGTGCATGCATGTGGCTGGGAGGCCCGGTGATATGTACTTGTTGCAGTATAGTCGTTTTTAGAACAAAAATTATCGATACTGCCCAACCCGTCTATGCCACAATATGTAGCCAGCTGGGTGAGGTAGCCTGGGCATGGTGAGAAAGATGGCTGAATGTGGGTGGCTGAACAGACAGAATCCGTAGCAGTACATGCAGTGCAGTGCGGTGCGGAACAGCTGCAATGCAGCATCCCTCACGTACATCTCTGCTGCCGGTTTCTGCAGGACTTATGGCTCAGCTGCAGTTCCCGCAGACGTTGGAGAGATTAACGCTATTAGCTGTTGCCGCATCGATGGCCTTGTTGGCGGACTAGATGATTACGCGTTGGATGACTTTCGCTTTGCCGTGAACTATGTCCCCGGCGTGAGTTCGTCAATCGTCATCCAAGCGCCGGCCATCATGCTCATTGACAAAGCAACGAGTTCAGGGGTAAGGACGACAGCAAGGGCGGGGAAATACGTATGGAATCTGGCATGTACAAAGGGGGTGGGTAAACTATGTTTGTAAGGAAGCGGAGTGCCAGGGTAGGGCATGGTATACCCGGAGCAAATGTTAATGGCATGGCGCCAGACATGGCAGGGCCCTTTCCTGCAACCGAAGCCACATAAGCTCACGAGGCACCCCTATTAAAGGCCCTCTCAAAGTCAATCTGTACTATTGGCTCTGGAAGATGCATGACATTGGCCAATGGACTGAAGGAGTACACTGATGAAGACAGAGCGCTAGGTTTGATGTCGCACTTACATGCACACCTGACCTGCCTCCATTTGTATGCTTCGCTGACAGGGCTACAACTACACCTTCGTGCCGGCCATCAGCTCCCACGGGGCGTCCATCAGCTGCTCCATCAACACGAACCTCGCCGATACAGTTCCTGTGAGGAGTCGCACAGCGACTGTTGTGTATCCTGTTATGTATTACTGTAATATCCTGGGTATCCCGAAGTTGACATCCGCCGTCCGGTTCTTTTCCTGCGAGAAGACGTGATACTTTAAATCGGTATCGAGTCTCCTTATCTTAGTCTTGACCCAGGTTCGATTCTCCTTACGGCCTGCTGCCGCTGGTTTCCTGTGAATGCTGACATCTTTTGGGTATTCTGAGACAGACGAACGGTCGATGACGCCCTCAACTCTGGGGGGGGGAATATTGTAGTATCCTGGGGTATCAGGGGATTGACTTCCGCCGATCGGTTCTTTTCCTGCGATAAGACGTGATACAACAATCACCCGCCGTACTGTCGCCATCAAGCCGTACATACGTGTTCGATAACCAGCTGCAGCAGGCCGCACTATTGGCCTGCGTGGGTACAACTTTTGTCGACTATAGCTATAGATAGGGTCATCGTATGATAGATAGGACCCGGAAATGGATCGTCTATCAATGCATTATATAGAATGGTCTATAAACCATCCCGAAAATATATGGTCTACAGACGACCAAAATGTTACAGACATGCTCCGTGTGTTGTAATACCTAAGTGCACGCATGCCATGTATATGATACTGCGCACACTTAATCCTCGCGATGGCGATCATCACTTTGATAGACAAAAAAAGTGGACGTCTTTCCCAGCAAATGGAGAGGAGGGGCATTATTTTTACGTAGCTTACCTATGCCACACATAGCTTACCTATGCCATTGAGTTCCCAAACCTCTTGAATTTCCTTTGTTGCGCTGCTGCCATTGCAATATCTCACCATATGCATTAACGCGCATGCACAGGGGGAGCTAACTGCTTCGACAGTATCAGGGGGATGCAGGTGCGCAGGTGGGGGTGCTCATATGTCAAATGAAGTGAATCGATAGTGATTATATAGCTGCTGTGAAGGCACGATTCATATAAGTGGACGATCAACGAAGGAGCTTCGTCCGGCATGATCTCCACCTGCTGCTGATCTATAGCTACGAAGTAAGGAATGTCCGCCTTTGCTACGGTCTGGCAATACTCTACACGGACTACCATGTGTAGTCCTGGACGCACACCTGGTACGCACCTGCCGTGCCTGCTGCTTGCAGCTGCCGGATACCTACCTACCTAGATAGCTACCTACTAGGTACCGTACTGATACGAAAGGTTCGCGCCACACCTTTCGCGGGTACCCCAAAAATATAGCTGGAATTTTTCGTTTTGTTACACCAATTCGCGAGGGCTGTCAGTTTTTATGGCACACATTTGTTTACATGAACACACATTTCGCGGGGCTCCAGGGAAGCCACAACAAGGAACGACAGCATCAAAGCTCCCAAACTGCTGGACATATCGTTTACTATATGTTTACGCAGAATGTCCAGCAAACAACAGTTACAATAAAAGGAAGCTATAACTATATGAAAAATTCAGTTCTGGCGTGTAAGAACTCAGTTCTGGCTGTTCTACACCATGTACACGGCGTACAACACATTCGTAGCCACACATTTTCGCGACAAGTAAATAATTTTCTCCATAGAGCTTTTTCCACTGTGACATACTTCGTGGCCCAAAACGAAAGGTGTGGCGCGAACCTTTCGTATCAGTACGGTAGCCTGCAAGACATGAAAAAGCGTTGTATGTTGTTACAGGGTGGTTAACTTCGCCAGCGGCCCCCTTTCCCGGGGCAGTCCCTGCTCTCCCCTGCTAGAGGGGCACCCTAATCCGTCACCCCATCCGACTTCAGAATGTATTCGTTGGGTTCGGCAACTCACCACCAGCATCCAACCAAATCTAGCGGGTCAACGGCGCATCAACTTAATTCCTGGTCAGCTCGCAAGTTGATATTATCACGTCCTGCACCGTCCATATGATGGGGGGCCACCTCCCATTTCATCACTCCTCAAACACCCGAGGAGCTGGCAGGCGGATTTGAACCCGGGTCGACTGGATCGATTGGGAGCAGAAGTCAGACCTTAACTTCTGCCAGCCGCCTGCCCGCGTTGTATGTTTGTATGTACCGGCCGTACTGGCCAGCAACATTGTGTCACAGCGGAAGGAACGAATATCCAAATCGTTCACACACACAGCGCGCTACTGCATCGTTTGTACGGGTTAGCATAGCATAGGTAGCAAGGCAGGTAGCTAATTGGGAGACCAGCCACTCGCTCGCATTACTGCTTGCTTGCATCTATCGCTTCCCAAAACTCGAATCCAATTCGTGTACTACGCTTTCATCCTTAGCACAGCACTTCTCTGCACCCTTTCTAAAAACTGATACCTACTTCTTGGTCACGCCTGCGTTATGGTGATGTTTGCATGCTCTATTTACGGTGGACACGGCAGTCTTGGATGGCGCAACTTTGACTACAATTATGGCGACATGACTGCTGTTGGACTTCGGATAACTGAGCCGTCCACGGGACACTACAGTGATATCACCTTCCTTCTGGTGCGTTGTGTACGCACATCTGTGTACATGTATGTATGTATAGCTTTGTGCACGTGCGTATGTATGTATGTGCTGCTGGTTTGCCTGTGCATGTGCTAGCGCTATCCCGGCGGTGTAGTAGGTAGCCTGTAGTATCCTGGGTATCACGGGATCTGTCATCCGCCGATCGGTTCTTTTCTGCAAAAAGACGTGATACAACATAGCCGCGAAAAAAGCCTCTCTGGATGTTGGGAACGCGCTCTAGCGCGTACATGTACTGATGGTGTGTGGTGTACTGTACGACAGCTGCGACACTGTAACACCAGGCAAAGAGTACTCAGGGAGATGCCATGGGAGCTGATCCCTTCTTACAGACACTGTCCCTTCTGAAGGGGACCGTCTGGGGCTTCACGCTTGTGTAATGCGTTTTGCGTATGCAGCAATCATTTAGATGTTAGTAATAAATATGTATACGCGCACTCGTCCATTCCTGTTTCATTGGTCTGAATAAAACGCAGCCCCAGGCAGCTTACCATTCATCGTATCAGTAGAAACGTAGAGACATGAGTACGGCAACGAATTAAGCTAGCACTGCCTTACTACTTCCACTCCTTCCTGCCTGTACTCACGAGATTATCACATGCCGCTTGCGTATGTGCAGATGGCGGCGGACTTGAGCGGCCAGCCTGTGATCTCCTCAATCACTGTTTCGACGACTGGTCAGGTGCTGCCGCAATACGGCGGAAACATCGTCATCTTCGTGGGGGTACCTATCACGGTGCGTTGCATGCATGTATACTTAGACATGTTGCCCGTTTGAATAATTGTTTTTGTCCTGCGTTTGCGGATGGATGTTCTTAAACACGCTTAAACGTTTAATGTTCACATGGCATGCAGCGACATGTCCAGAAAACATTGCTGTTGCGTTATTGCATGGCTGGTGTATGCGCTTGGCTGTGGTGCGTGTTGCATATCAGCATACACCGACGGTTTAAGCGAGAGAGGGGGTTGTATGTGAGAGAGTTAGAAAGAATATATGTGTGTGTGCTTGTTACACATCGATCCGATGTCCCGACACTGGTGTATGTGTGTGTATGTGTGTATGTGTCTATGTGTGTGTGCATTGACTCTGAGCTGCGATACAGGAAAGGCTGAAGTGGGTTCATCGGAATAACCGATCTGAGCTCCGTAGTCCAGCGACGTATAAGCCATTTCCAGTAAAACCTGTAGACATAGCCGCTTGAAGTTTCTACGAAGATGTTGAAACAGAAGCCTACATGATATCAGGACAGAGCCTGTACAAATGTGCGGCAGAGCCTGTACAAATGTGCGGCAGAGCCTGTACAAATGTGCGGCAGGGCCTGTACAAATGTGCGGCAGAGCCTGTACAAATGTGCGGCAGGGCCTGTACAAATGTGCGGCAGAGCCTGTACAAATGTGCGGCAGGGCCTGTACAAATGTGCGGCAGAGCCTGTACAAATGTGCGGCAGAGCCTGTACAAATGTGCGGCAGAGCCTGTACAAATGTGCGGCAGGGCCTGTACAAATGTGCGGCAGGGCCTGTACAAATGTGCGGCAGAGCCTGTACAAATGTGCGGCAGAGCCTGTACAAATGTGCGGCAGAGCCTGTACAAATGTGCGGCAGAGCAGAGCCTGTACAAATGTGCGGCAGAGCAGAGCCTGTACAAATGTGCGGCAGGGCCTGTACAAATGTGCGGCAGGGCCTGTACAAATGTGCGGCAGAGCCTGTACAAATGTGCAGCAGAGCCTGTACAAATGTGCGGCAGGGCCTGTACAAATGTGCGGCAGAGCAGAGCCTGTACAAATGCAGTGGGGACGCGACTGCCGGGTGGTGGGCGACTAGAAGTAACTATACTTACCGAGGATACCAAAACGTCCCACTAGATAGACCCTAAGGATTACTTCTTATCCTAAGGAAACGAACAAATCAAAGGGTCATCCTACCACAGCATGTGTGCAATGCGGCGGCAAGCAGGGTGCCCAGCACATATAATCCTTCTGGTGAGGAAGCAGAAAGTTGATTTACCTGTCAGTCCACAAAGGGAACACCGATGTGGGCCGAGCAGCATCAGCATCAGGACTTAGAGGGTATTGTTGGGAGATTTGCACGTGTGAGGGCAGTTGCAAAAGCATGGATACATGTGCGGCACGCCGGTCCTGATTTAAGCAAAACAGAGCAAAATAGAGAAAGAAGGAAGGAAAGGAATAGTTGGCGATGAAGTATGGTGAAGGTAAGGAAACGATGATCAGAGGGGTATTGCATAGCGACGAGCCTTGAGCTGCAATGATAGGAACTTGATTCAAGGAAATCGATTCAAGAAACACCATGTAGAAATTCGATGATAGAAATTTGATAGGGGTCTCAGGCAGTGGGCGCGAGCCAGCAACGAAAGCAGCAAATTGAGCGGGTTCCACTGGTATGCATCCTTCGCTGCCTGCTTCGTTGCCAGTGCAAATGGCCGAGTACGGCATCGGATGCAAATGATTCATAGAATCACTGCGTGCTTATACACAGAGGAGTTCCAACAATTGCATGAATGATATTATACTAGTGGCCGGGCAAGGGCAACTCTCAACCAACATTGCTGGCCCCCTACACACGTGCACACGCACACCAGGGCTCATTATGACTCTAAAAAAATTTTCCTTTTTTTTCCTTTTTCCCTATGGTACCTCACGTTTCGGTACTCCTTACACGCATTGCATAACACGTGTGTATATGCAGGTGGTGTTTACTGTGACGAGCCCCACTGGTAATGTAATCACAGCCTCCAGCAGCAACTTGCCATCTGGAGCCACCCTCACAACCACACCCAGCGGTGGTGCCGCATCCATAACAGTGACCTTCAGCTGGACCCCTAGTGCCACCTCCCCTGCCTCGGGTGTCGTAGTTATCAGCTTCCTGGATACGAACTACTTGACTACAATCTCCACCTTCAGCTTCCTGCAAGCCCTGCCGCCCGCACCACCTTCTCCTCCCCCTCGTCCACCCCGCCCTCCCCGCCCCAGCCCCCCGTCTCCTCCTTCACCCAGTCCTCCCTCGCCCAGTCCCCCGTCTCCTCTACCACCTAGCCCTTTACCCCCCAGTCCCCCGTCTCCTCTACCACCCAGCCCACGCCCTCCTCTCCCATCACCACCACCACCACCACCACCACCGCCACCTCGCATTTCCTCACCACCGATGCTACCACCACCCTCTCCTATCAGACAGCCACCCCCACCCCTAGCTCTTTCCCCGGGCCTTCCACCTCCACCTCCACCACTACCGTCGCCTACAACCACCACTTCCCCGCCGCCTCCTCCTTCTCCTCCTTCTCCTCCTCCTTCTCCTCCTCCTTCTCCTTCTCCTTCTCCTCCTCCTTCTCCTCCTCCTTCTCCTCCTCCTTCTCCTCCTCCTTCTCCTCCTCCTTCTTCTCCTCCTCCTTCTCCTCCTCCTTCTCCTCCTCTTTCTCCTCCACCTTCTCCTCCTCCTCTTCCTCCTCCTTCTCCTTCACCTCGTCCTCAACCATCCCCCACACCATCACACTCCGATACAAGGCGTCGGCGTTCACCTCCTTTTAGCCCCGCATCAAGTCCCTCATCAAGTCCCGCACAAAGTCCCGCACAAAGTCCCGCACAAAGTCCCGCACAAAGTCCCGCATTAAGTCCCGCACCAAGTCCCGCACCAAGTCCCGCATCAAGTCCCGCACCAAGTCCCGCATCAAGTCCCGCACCAAGTCCCGCACCAAGGCCCACATCAAGTCCCGCACAAAGTCCCGCACAAAGTCCCGCATTAAGTCCTGCACCAAGTCCCGCACCAAGTCCCGCATCAAGTCCCGCACCAAGGCCCACATCAAGTCCCGCACCAAGTCCCGCATCAAGACTCGCACCAAACAACACAATGCTTGTGAGCTCCTTCCCCTTCGGCAGCGGCTGCATTCTGGGACGCGACGCCAGGCAGTCCCCTGTGCGCTTGTCTGCACCCGTGGGGCCTATGAATGTCACGTCCAGCACCGCCACCTACTGCCTCCTCATCAGCAGCAACGCCTCACTAGTTAGCCCTATGGCTGAGTGCGCGGGCATGGACACCGTACGCAGAGTCGACATGGTTGTGGGTAAGTGATAACGAATTAATTAGTTAGCCGGATGTCCTTATGCGATGTCTGTGTGTCGCGAAGTATCCCTGAGTCGTCAGTACACATATATATGAGGCTCATTTTTCAGTGCCCATAAAAGTATAATAAGAGGGGTATTACCAAAAGCAAGTCATGCGTTCGCAGGTGCCTACATGTATAATTGTTGGATGTCCACGTGTATATACATATGTTGTATACTAGGGTTTGGCACCACTGGTAACGCGCGACCATTGCCCCTGGGAGATCCCGGGATCGAGATCTGTCATTGCGCCCCTAGTTGATGGACGGTGGTGACCTGGGTTAAAGTTAACCTGCGAATCGATCAGGAATGGAGTTGGGCCGCTGTCGACCCGGCAGATTCCGTTGGATCTTGGTGGTGGGTGCGGAACCTGAGTGATCCACTGAGAAGTTGACTAGGGTGACAGGATGAGGGTGCCGCGAAATACCGGGGAAGGCAGGGTTTCGCAGGGTAGCTGCCACCGGTGAAGACATAACCCCCTGTTTCACACATCATATGTGTTACGACTTCAGAAAAGTACCGATCAGCGGATGCAGGTCCCCCAGAATACAACAATTTGTGCATTGGCTTGCTTGCCGTGCAATCAAGCTTTAGCAAAAAAGCACACAACTCCACAATAATGTACATGTATATACCAAGCAAAGGATGTGTTTTGAATATGCGACATCATAAGGGAATTCTTAATCATCGTTGTTCCCATCGTTACCTTCAACTCGTGCTTCACTTGCTTTGGAAAAGCACATGTCCACGCACAGACCATGTCTAAGACTTTGTACGGCCTTGTCCCCTTGATGCACATTGATTGTATTGCCTTATCGTAGATGCAACATGCGTGCAACAGAAGCCCAAGCCCATCACGGCAGTAACCGTCAACGGCCGTGAGCCACAGCATACCCTCCAGACAATCAATTTTGATGGTGCCGAGTACGGCGTACTAACGATCAAACGCATTGACGCGTTGTTCCAGAGGTTACCGGGCAATGGGCTGTCCGTGTGCCTGATTTTGAACAAGGCGGCTAGCAGCAGGTGCAATAGCCCCCAGGCTCTGTTCTTTGGTCCCACCATCGTATACCAGATCACAAGCATTGACTTCATGTGCTGCCCCACGTCAGAGGCGCCAGAGTCCTGATGATGTATCATTGTGCAGCGTCAGCTATTTACTTGAGACCCATGTGTTTAAGAACCATACATGTAATTTCCGTCCTGCTTGCCAAGAATTTTCTCGTTCCCGCTGCGAGCAAAGGAAAGGAAATTGTCAGCAGCAGCTGAGGGCTGGAGGCTGACTGACTGGGGAGGCAAACAGTTCGAACATGTGTAGCTTGAAAGGCGCGCAGCTGTGTCAACACGACCACCTAACCTTTTTGCGCCTAACGGGTCACCCTGCTACAGTGCAACCTGCCCAGGAAATCCGTATGACGACGTCCTACCCAGTGTGAACTACCTTTCTATGCACAGCGACACGATGAGTACACTGGTATGAAAGAGTACGGGAGTACGGGAATGTCTATGACTTGCAGCAGAGGTCGGCAAATCGGTTTCTACGGCTGCGGGAGGGCATAATTTCGGTCAATAAACCTAAAACAAATTTGGCTTAGTTTGCACACAGATTAGCGCGCTCCGACATCTCCGAGAACAGGTGCTGCTTTCGTGCAAGCTTGGCATCATAAGATTAATGTGGTGTATCGCTGGCTTGCGCACGCGCTCCATCAGCCCCTCCGCGGCATCAGCACCCTCATAGCGATCATCACCAACACTGAACACCTCCTCACACCCAAGGAGCTGTGACAGCACCTGCTGCTGCTCCACGTAAGACTTCAAGAATGCCTCCCGATCCTTCACAGCAGCTGGCTGCAACTTCCACATCTCATGCTTAAACATGGACAGCTGCAACTTGGCCTCCTCGAAATCGATTTGTGGATGGCAATCATGCATGTGCTTCTTCTCCTTCAGGCGCACCGTGAAATAGCCCCTCAGTGCTTCGGACGCGTCCTCACCCCAATCGTCCACATTATCCGGGTACTCGATCAGATTAAACAGGGCCAGTGCCGACAAGAAGGTGCTGTTAGGGAACCGTCGATCGAGATATTTGATGAGATTCTCGGTGAACTCCTTGAAGAGGTCGTGCATGATGCTCTCTGGTGACTCAGGGACATTCGACACGGGGTGACCATGAAAGGATTTGCACCCCGTCGTCGCCATAAGCTGCCAAAAGGACTTCAGGGCAGGAGTTGTGTGCTGCCCTGGCGGCACATCTATGAAGCTCTTCCGCAGAGAGTGCTGCACTGCCGCAATAGTCCCAGCAACATCAGAATCCTTAAATTGCTGGGCTTGCATTAGCTTGAACACACCATCTGTCTGCACCAGCACATCACAAATGAAGTGCAGGCCCACCAGCGTCCGGAAATCCGTAAGCTGTTTATGCAAGGTGCAGAACACCTTCTTCTCGGCCCTTGGGTCACACTCATCGTACTCCAGCTCATCCTCCTTAGACCCCGAATCCGTATGTGGCTCATAATCGCTGTCATCGCTGTTATCCGCGCCATACACCCCGTTTCCACGGTGAGCCACACCTTGGCACGGTGCAGCCCCATACGTGACAACGGGTGGAGGGGCAGCTGGGGGAATAGAAGGGGCAGGAGGCGGTGGCGGCGGCGGTGGCGGCATCATGACGCCAAACTGCTGCAACTGTTGCTGTACATGCAGCTGTTGCAGGAACTGCTGCTGTTGCCACTGTCCAATGAGCTGCGCCTGCGCTATAAGGGGTGTAGAGGATGGTGACACTCCGACCCCAAGTGCAATGCCAGCCTCCTGAAAGAGCTGAGAGAATCGTGCCTGTAGAGCTTTGTCAGAAGGCTGGGCAGAAAGGTCCCGTAACAGCGCCATTTGAATGGCAGGCTGAGGAATCGTGCTGATCGCTGCAGCATACGAGGCGTTATGTGGGTGTAGCAGTGGGGGAACCATGGGGTGTACTGGATGTGTTGGTTGCAGAACCGCAGGCCGCATAACAATGCCGGTGACCGGAGCAGCTTGCGGAGTAACGTTGCCAGTAGGGATGCGAATTTACGTTTTACGTTTTTACGTTTTAAGGAATTAAGGTTACGTAATTACGAATTAAGATTGGACCTGGCCGTAATTTACAGAATTAAGGGCTCGCCGTAATAAGGTCCCTCAGGAGGGGTAGAAACCTTAAAAGCTTAACAGACCCATGGGTCTTACAGGTTCCGCCGGTCTGCAAACCAGGGTGCCGCTGACCCGTCCACTCCTCCGAACACACCACAAACCCAGCCATGGGGGAAGCGTGAAAGAGTCCAACAATGCAGGTTGAAACCCGCGATTCCCTCCGCCCAACCAAGCAAAAGAGCAAGTCAAGTAGTCAACACGACAAGTAGTCCTGGTTTGCAACGGTATTAGGTGTCGTGGTCGAGTATGTATGCACGGCTTTCAATGCTTAACGAAATCCCCATGGGCCCAACCATGAGCCCATCATGCTGAGCCAACAAGCAAAAACAGCCGGTACTGAGGAAGGGAAGCTGCCAGGACTGAAATCGTTTACTGCTCCGGCAGCTCCAGGCCCGGCTGGGCCTCCATCCACCGAATGAACTCCTCCCAGTCCAGCTGCGTGATGGGCGCCTTCTCGCGCTGTTAAAAATATGTAAATAAGTAAAGAATGGTGTTGCGAATGTGAAAACGCTGAAATTGTGCTGAAAATCCAAAATCGTACACTAATACGGCAACCTTAAATTAAGGGTCCAGGGTCCAGGCCGTGGAAACCGTAAATTACAGTAATTTACTATATTACGCTTTTAAGCTTACGTAATTAAGGTTGCCAAATCCCAATTCAGCTGAAACTCACATCCCTAGTTGCCAGCGACTGTTGCAGCTGGCCTCATGTTGTTGTAGCGCGTTGGAGCGTTACAGACCTTAATCGCTGTGTGATTAAGACACGACTCGATTAGACTGATTTAAGAACAGTCTACGAATATCTTGGAGTTTAGGAGTGTTTCCTAACCAAGGAATGGCACGCACTTGAGATACCTACATACACATCGGTTCGAGCAACCGATGTAGATCGGAAGAGATCTCTAGACTCGTTGCCTCCTAAGCAACGAGTATTTTTACTCGGGGGGAAGCCTGGGTTAGATATCTAATGATACACCAGTGAGAGAGGTCCTAGAAGCCTACACTTCTAATGCTCGTTACTTAGGTTAGAAAAGAGCCCAGACCTTGATGGAGCGAATTCGTCCTGTAACCTGTCGGCTCTCGCCGATATTACGCGCTAACATTTTGGGGTTACAGCCTTCGCTCCAGCCTGTTACGTACTTACAATAGGACCCTGATTTACAAAATAGGGGGGTCCTTGTGAAGCAGCTGCCCGCGTTTCCAAAGCCCGTGTGGTGTTGGATTGTAAGGTGCCCAAGTACGTTTGCAAGGAAGAGAATGTGGCCAGGCTGGAGAGGAAAGTGCAGTGGCATATTGGAATGTGAGATTAGCGTAAGCGAGTTACAGGGCGTTACCGTAGCATCAGTCCTCAGTTCACTTCTTGGAACGAACATCAGCATAGGTCCAAGCCCTCTCGCTTGGAGGGATATGCAAACAAACATCCTGATAGGGGTAAACTCGCACGCTACCGAGCATTCAACCGAGCACATGCATGCTTAGTTGAATGGTGAGATGCGACCCCCCCTTCATTTCGTGCTCGGCAAGCCTGCCACCGCGTACCGGATATGTTGGCGATATTACAGAGACGCTGCACCTTGGTTTCTGTGCACAATGCGTACGATGCTCGACCCAACTGAAGACAATCCCGGTGGTTGTGCAGCAGCTCTTGAGGCTGTTGCTGGCTGAAATCCATCCTGAGCTGTTGCAACACGGCTAACGCGGGCACGTCCCTATGCACAGCAAATAGCTGTTCCAAGCCAACAGCGGCATCCATTTTACTTGCAAGGTTCTGAACGACTTTCGCGATTCTTATCTTTACCTAATTCTGCGTTTGTTATTATTTATTTCGTAAGAGTGTAACTTGAGTTTAGTCGGAACAATGTGCATTATGCGCTGCGCTACCGAAAGCAGGTGCCTTATGGCTTACACACAACTGCTTCTTCGCCAGCGCTTCATCTTCCGCGGCAGTTTCACGAGCCCAGAGTTGCAAGATACGACGTTGGCTTTCGGTGCTTTTAGTTACTGCAAAGCATCCACGCAATAGTCCAGCCTGCATGCCGCGTGCGGCTATGGCCAACATGCCCACCTGCGCAAAGCGCTGGCGCACCTGGTCCTTTTCCGCCAAGAAAATTTATATACACTTGTACAGGCGCATTTTGAGAATCGCACGCGCGCATCTGCGCGGTAAAATTCGCTCCTGACTTTTGGGGGGCGACATCGTACGACCGGACACATTTGTGCGAGAGGCTGCTTAAATAGGGTGGTTCTTGTGAAGCAGCTGCCCGCATTTCCAAAGCACGTATGGTGCTGGATTGTAAGGTGCCCAAGTACGTTTGCGAGGAAGAGAATGTGGCCAGGCTGGAGAGGAAAGTGCAGTGGCATATTGGAATGTGAGATTAGCATAAGCGAGTTACAGGGCGTTTGGCGCACGGGCAAATTTACGTGCATACCTTTCACCGTAGCATCAGTCCTCAGTTCACTTTTTGGAACGAACATCAGCATAGGTCCAAGCCCTCTCGCTTGGAGGGATATGCAAACAAACATCCTGATAGGGGTAAACTCGCACGCTACCGAGCATTCAACCGAGCACATGCATGCTTAGTTGAATGGTGAGATGCGACCCCCCTTCATTTCGTGCTCGGCAAGCCTGCCACCGCGTACCGGATATGTTAGCGATGTTACAAAGACGCTGCACCTTGGTTTCTGTGTGCAATGCGTACGATGCTCGACCCCGCCGACCAAAACTACACGTGCCCAACTGAAGACATTCCCGGTGGTTGTGCTGCAGCTCTTGCGGCTGTTGCTGGCTGAAATCCATCCTGAGCTGTTGCAACACGGCTAACGCGAGCACGTCCCTATGCACAGCAAATAGCTGTTCCAAGCCAACAGCGGCGTCCATGTCACCGACAAGGCTCTAAACGTCTTATCTGTCTTCTGTTTAATTAAGTTGATGTATGTTATACTTTGCGCAACTTTGTAATTTGACTGAAAGGAACTGGCTCCAGTTGGCGACTGGAGGAAGCATTAGTTCCTAACTTGCCCGATCTGCAGAGCCCGACATCAATCGCTGACTGAGAGACAAGGAAGAGAAGAATACTAAGCTTACAAATAATGGTGTAGGAATGCCTTAAATAGTCTGGCAAAGCCTTGCACGACACAGAGTCGTACCGATCAAAGACAAACCATAAGTACTCGGTAACGAACACAAATCCCTTACATTGACTTTACTCTGAACAAGGTGCTGTATACGTTGCACTACCAAAAACGCGACCGTTTGCTTGCACACAACTGCCTCTTCGCCAGACGCTTCCTCTTCCCGCGGCAGTTTCACGAGCCCAGTGTTGCAAGCTACGATGTAGGCTTTCGGTGCTTTCAGTTACTGCAAAGCAGCCACGCAATAGACTAGGCTGCATGCCGCGTGCGACTATGGCCATCGTGCCCACCTGCGCAACGCGCTGGCGCACCTCGTCCTTTTCCGCCAAGAAAATTTATATACACTTGTACAGGCGCATTTTGAGAATCGCACGCGCGCATCCGCGCGGTAAAATTCGCGCCTGGCTTTTGGGGCGTACGGAGTCTTTATTCGGCACAGTACGACCGGACACATTTGTGCGAGGGGCTGCTTAAAGATCCTGATTTACAAAAGGAGTTAGAAGTAATTCAGTGGCAGCTCTAGAAACCGACTTCCCGTTCGACCTTTACGGTCGCATGGAGATCAACCCCTCGCAACTTGTACAGCTTCGCGACCAGCTCACTTTGGCGATCTCTTCCTTGTCACTGAACAGTGAGTTAAGTACTTTTTGGGCGAGGCCCCGGGCGTGAAGCGCCTTTCGGGGGGCCGAGCCCCCTAGGTTCACTGCTGTCAGTCAGTCCGTCAGTCAGTCAGTCATGGTGTAACATTTCATCTTATTTCGCCCCCATGAAAATTGCGTCTGAAAGCTATTTTAAATCTCTATCGAGGGACCAATGGAATTAAATCAGATAAATTTGTGGGCGAAGTTAGCTAAGCTGGTGCTGTTCACGGATGACCGGCCCTATTTGCCTTTTATTGCCATTTACTAGCAGGAGGGCATTTCGTTGATGGTGTAGTCTTTTGGAAATCTGTTAGTATGGTTTTGGAAGGTTAATAACTCTGTAAAATTGCATTGCATTGGGGCCTGTAGGCGGGCCGTATTTTTGCAGTCCTATGACGCGGCCTGTGGCCAAAATAGGGCCGGTCATCCGTGAACAGCACCGCTTCCTAACATATTAACTTTCATATCCTGCCCCGCTCTAAATTGCGTCGGAAAGCTATTCTAAATCTCTATTGATGGACCATGGGAATGAATTCAGATATATCTGTGGGCGAAGATGGCTTTCCAGGGTGAGATCAATTTCCATATCTCACTCCGCTAAAGATTGCAATGTAAAAGCTACATCAATTCTTTATCGGTTGGCCAAAGAAGAACATTCAACTACATCGGAGCGCGAAGATACCTTTCAATGGCTTCGAATTTGATTTCCCCTCACGCCGCAGCCCTTGCCTATGACGTCGTTGCATGTCCCTTACATTATAGATTCATAAGCAAACGGCATGATCCTTTATGGGTTGGTTCGTTCATGACCGACACTCTAAGCACCTCCCTCCTGGCGTCTCGCTCGTGCCTGTTTGATTGTTGTCCTTCTTATTCTCTTCTTCATTCATTCAATCCAAGTTCGAACGAACTGTGCCTTTGCGACACACCATCAGCTTTGCCGCTGCATTCCGACTTATTAATGTGTAAAGTGAATGATCCCCGAATGCGTTCTGGCTGGGAGCGGACAACAATTGGTCCATGAAGCACGAGCACTTTGACGCGCCTTGAACTGCCAGCCAGCAGAAGGGCCGGCGTCGAACATGGATGCATCGGTAGTACTCGGGCAGTCCCGACTCATGGATTTGGCGCAGTAGCGGCAACACACGTTGCCGCAATGACACTCCTGCTTTGTGTGTATGTCATTCTACGGATTGCCGCATCACGAGAAGGCTAACTGTTCAGTCAATAATGATTATGCTATGGCGGCTGCGCGCTTGCGATGATCCAGACAGATCTACACCGCCGTAGCAAGTCTGCCGACCATTGTTGTTTGAGGATTTCAAAAACAAGTCTGTACTCCAAACGTGCGGCGTTCTTGTGCTTGCACTCCTATGCCGTACGGACTTCCCTGCGAATATAATAGGGTTCAAGTGGCAGCACCGCGGCCGAGCCCCTTTTCGGCTTTGAAAAGCCGCCCCCCTAGTTTCGCTAATGAGTAGCGCAGGTAGTGACCCTGCAACGGTAGACCCCCCAGAGAATCCGACTCTGGGCGGAGGCGCCCTCTGGAAATGTGAACGACTCTGAGGCTGGCGGGTCCCGACCCGTCCTCACCAACCAGAACCAGAAACAGGACCAGATCCGGCGCCCTGAGACGTCGGTGCTGCAGGAGCAAAGCGCTGCCCTTGCCGCCGAACTCCGTGAATTGAAGCGGGCCCGTCAGGGCGCCGTTCCTTTGAGAAATCCGGCGGTACGTGGGAACCCCCTGAATCCCCCTCCGGACGTTGGCTCCCGGTTGAAAGCCCTGAAAATTTCTGAACCGCAGTGGAATAACCCCAAATATGGCCTCTGCACGAAGTGCGGTCGCCAGGGACATCTCGCCAACACGTGACGTGCTGCCCAGCGGCCGAGTGGCCAGCAGACTTGGATTCACCACGATGATGACGATTCGAGAATTGTCGGGCGTTTAGAATCTTTAGGCATTATGTGCCCGCGAATGCAATTCGATCCGGCAACCTTTGCGACGATTGAAGCCCGCATTGGGCGTAAGATTACGTTTGACGCTTGTGCAAGTGACGATGGCAACACTGCTGTTTGTAAATGGTGTGGATCAGAATCGCGTCACTTTTTATCGCTTGATTGCTCCGGCCAGAGTCCCCTCCCCCCGCAACACCAGGTGGCCCGCTCTGCATGTGCACCGCCATCTCAGCATCAAACCGCTGTTTTGCTCTTGTTTGTTGATTCTTGCAATCAATTCTTGTCCAGCCCAGCACACACCCAGATTTCAGTACAATGAATCCCGACATTCTTTCAGCTGATCCAGCTTAACTGTTTCTTTCAGTCGTTGAAAGGATTTACTCACAAGCCTTCGCAGGCGACTTCACTTTTGAGCCGATAACGAGACCTCCAACACGTCGGTGTTTTACAGTTTAACACCGCCGCGCTTACACAGTTTTCCATCGCCATCAGGGTCTTTTATATATCCCCATCCCAAGCGTGCCAAATCAATTAACCATTAGACCTTGCGTACACACGGTTCTGCATCACATCGTGCACAGTAGTAAACCGCATGTCAGCGTGGTGGGCTCCGTTTCGGCTCTTCGCAACGTACAAGTGTATGGGATAGCGGGGCATAGCGGCATTCCCCTGGTCCCCTTATAACACGACACAGTCCACCACAGCAGTGATTTTTCTTCATTTAGGGCGGGTCTCAATTTATTCCGACCTAAGTAACAAAGTTGCTAGGGTCGCCGTAATTTATTCCGTAAGTGTGGGGCGCAGGGGAATGCTACGCCCCCCCCAGACCCCCCCGATAAGTTACAACTCCCCTCATAGACCAAGAGGCACGCACTGCGTTGGCGCGTTTTCGTTCATGTGCGCACTCTTCATGCACATGCATAGATAGTTCTGGAACTGTTTGTGAGCAATAAGTAAATCCGACCAAGCAAAGGCCCAAAGCAAGCAACCGCATAGCAAATCACAGGCCGTCACCCGCCACTGCAAACCACAGCACACTTGGACTCTACCGGTTCATCATGTACCGGCCCCTGCTGCTGCTGTCCAGCCACTTCCTCAGTGCGTCACGGAACGGGAACGTGCCCAGGTCGAACAGGTCCTGGGTAAACATCCGCACACACAATGCTAGGTGCTCGACCATTGCCGATGCATTACCGACAACAGCACCGCCGTCCCAAACGCCTTTATCAGGAAAATGTTCAGGCTTATCTTGCTGTTTTGGTGTTTGTTCGACGTTCGAGCCGCGATCGTTGCCTTTCGCGTGTTTGGCTATGTGAGGACCGGTCATACATTCTGCTATGCCGCGTTGACTCACGGGCTTGACCTTCTTACGGCTTGACCCTCATATCTATTCTATGATCGATAATACTAAGTTCTGCACACTACGGAGCAATCTGGCAGCAATGGGCGTTTTTGGCTGGAGGAATGAAAATGTACAGCGGAATGAAAATGGCCTCTTTATTCCTTATAAGGAATATATTAAAAAAACACTGCCCCACAGGCCCCATACGAGCCGCCACTGTAATGTTTTGCAGTTCGTTGACGCGCGTTTCTGAAACCATGTCGTATCTTCTAGCCACCACTACCATGCATCTAAAATAATACCGAGGGCCCCCCTTGGAGTGAAGCCGTCGGGTAAGGTGGCCGCCTGGCTTTGGGCCCGCCTGGTGGACATGGACCCCAGGTGCATGTGTGTTCTTCGCACTGCTTTCTCGTTCGTTATCTCTGTAGACGCATGCAGCCGCAGCGACGAAAATAGCAACAGCAGCAGCAGTAGCAACAGGTGTACAACAGTCTTCTTCCTCTGCCACGCGAGATCCTTCTTTTGCACCGGACGGAACATTCCTTCTCCCCGTTTCATAGTACGCCGTACATGTACACGTACATGCTTTCCTTGCTCTAGCAAAGAAAGCATGTACGTCGCCTTTTGGCCCCGGCAGGATGAAGCAATAGCAGGAGCACAGGCCCCCCAGAAATGCCTGACATCACAGAGGTCACTTAGTTGCCATCCACCACCCGGCTGCCTCGCCTTCATTCATTCGTTCACTTCCAGTGGCTCATTTAGGCGCGGGAGCAGTGCGCCGTGATGCCAGTAACCCAGGGGGGATGCAGAGCGAGGGCCCATCCTCCCATCCTCCCATCCTGGGGGGGGGGGCTCCCGGGCACACATCCTGTCGGTTGGATACATCCTACACCGTCACCCTTCCCCTATCCTCAACCCACACGTCCCCCATACTGGTGACTGCATTCCCTCCCCTCCGCCATCCTCATCCTTGGTGGGTTTGCGTCGACCCTGCCGCCATCCGCCGACACATCTGCCATCCTTATCCGGGGGTTTTGGTCCACATTTCTATCCTTCTCTTTCCTGTATCCGCATCCTGCTCCCGACCCGACCCTCCGCCGCATCCTGGCCGCTCTGCCACCCCCCGGTAACCCCAGATCCCCGTGGGTTACATGTGGTGCCCACTTCCCGGGTTCCAACACCCTAAAGCACTGGGGTCACCCATTCTCCTTTCCATGACACCCCCTTCTCCACCCGCCTCTCTATCCCTACACTATCACTTGGGCCCTGAGAACAAGCTCAACCGCAGTTGGAGTCATCAACCCCCTACCCCTTTCCCTCCGAAGCTCCGAGTCACACTCAGATACACAGTGGCAAAGAAACAGAAGTGCACATGCATACAGACATGTACACAGACCCGCAAGCAATTTCCGTTTTGCAACTTAATTCTTCAAAACACAGGCACGCGCTGGCACCTCCCCCACTCAATGGAGACATGGGGGGGGGGGAAAGGAATACATGGTCTTGGAGTTGGCCTGTATTCTACCTACATGGATCTGGGACCGCACACCGCTGCGATGATACACAAACACACACACACACACACACACCTACTCACACAAAAATAACCAAACCGGTCACAGCAGCACCGGAAGGGTTTGGCTTCTTCGTCCTTCTTCTACCTTTCTCTCCTCTCCTCTCCCCTCCTCTCCTCTCACAGCAGCTCCATTTGTGTGTGTATGGTGTTACACCTCGGTTGCGTTATCCAGAGAGGTGTAACGAGTGCCCAAACGACCAAGAGCCCAAGGCCCAAGAGCCTAATAAGAGCCACAAGTTTGTCATGTGGGTGTTCGGCACACTATAGCAGCCATCTCCTGGGGCACCTTGGAATAGAGAAATAGGACCGCACGACAGCGAAAAGGGTAAAAGACTACAATTTCACAGCAGAGGTTGCAGCAGGGAGCGGGGAAGAGAGATTGAAGTTGGGGTTCACGTAAGCTGGATGGCCCGCTGGCGATGGGATGTGGGGTCTTGCATACCCATCACAAGAGCCACCCCAACCCCACCACCACTAACATTTCCTCCATTCATATGTTCTCCAGCATTCGTTGTACGAGGATGTCTTCGAGACAGACAGGCAGACAAATAGACAGACAGACAGACAGACAGACAACAGACTTAAAATGCAGGCAGACAAGCAGACAGACAGATGCAAAGAGCGTTGAGCGCTCTATACCCCGATGACCATACAGCGACACACACATCCACACCATACGACGCACATCTAAGCCACAGCGTTTTCCCCTTAGCAACCGCTGCTGCACTAGGCGTGTAAGCAGGTGGGCATGTAGGTAGACTCCGAGCCCGGCACCACCCGAATGTCATCAGGCACGATGATGGTGTAAGCCCGGCATCGCCCTCGGCACTACTCAAGACATATGGCAGAAGCTCCTGCAGCAACCGGCGACTCAATGGCGACAACCGCCGCCGCCGCCGCCAGCGCGTCCTGGGAAGGAGCTTAATGCTCCCGTCGGCCAGGCAGCAGACAGAGCTTGAGGCCAGGTGGCGCCGCCGTCGTCGCCGCCGCCGCCGTTGACTGCGTCGGCGAGCGACGGCGCCCGCAACAGTGGCTCGGCGCGGCGGTGGTATGTGCTGCCGCCGCCACCGGCGGCGGCAGCCGCCGCCGCCGCGGCGGACAACAAGGAGCCAACGCTGACGCCGACGCCGTCAGCACCGCCCTCCGCCGCGATATCGGCGCCTGACGCAGTATGGCCCAGGTTGGTCAGAGCAGAGATGGGAAGATTTATGCCCCAATCCCCCAACATGCCCCCGTCGTAACTACCACTGCCACCGCCACCGTTGCTGAGGCGGTAAGCATGGTGGTGGTTAAGGTTGTTAGTCGTTAGTGGGAAGGGGAGGTTTCCTCCGGGGTAAAAGCCGTCACCGCCGGCGTTGGCGGCGTCAGGCCCCCGCAACGCCGCCGCTAGCTCGAAGCTTCCTAGCGCACGGCCCGAGAAGGCACTATTGCTGCCGCGGCCGCCGCTGCCCCCGGGGTCGTGTTGCACACCGACTCCGGATCTCACGGCGCCGGCGCCCAGCACTGCATGTAAGCCCGTCGCTGCCGCCAATGCTGCTGCCATTGCTGGTCGGCTCTGCGTTGCTGGAGGATACTGCTGTTGTGGATGCTGTTGCGGCTGCTGCAGCTGCTGGCGGTGAAATCTGCTTTGCTGTTCCATATCTCGCAGCTGCTGCCGCATTTGAAGCAACCCCAGCGGCTGTCCGCCGCCACCGCCGCCGTTGTTGTCGCTGCCGCCGCCGCCGCTATGTCCCGACTGGCCGCGGCCCGTTGATTGCTGCCCCCGCGCCCCGTGCCCTGTCGTCACGGTCGTCACCGCCGCCGCGGCCACCTGCGGCGCCGGCGCGCCGTGCGGATGCAACGGTACGGAATCCTGTCCGTTGTGGTATTGCTGTTGGTGATGATGTTCGTGCTGATGGTGCTGTTTCTGCTTTTGGTACTGAAGTTGGTGGAATGGGTGGTGCCGCTGATGTGGGTACTTCTGCTGCTGCTCCTCGTCTGCCGCCGCCGCCACCGCCGCCAGCAGCGATGCCATGCCATTCGAAGGCGAGTGAGCACCCGAGGGCGACTGCGGTGCCGCGGCGGCGGCAGCTGGCTCGCCACCTGGCACCACCACCGCTGTCGCCGTGGCTGCGGCACCCCGGCTGGCCCCTCCTTCCCTAGCCCAGTTTCCACTTCCGCTGCCGGCGTCGATACCGATCGTGGCGCTCTTCCGGTTCCCTGCAGCTCCACCGCCGCCGGCTCCCGGGGATGACAATAGCGCCAGATGATTGGCCAGGTCGGAGCCGATTGACAAACCCTGCGGCAGACCCGAGGACAGAAAGGCAAGGAGCTCCAGGGACTCAAGGGAGGCCAGCGGCACCGGAAGGGCGGCGGCGGCGGCGGCAGCGGCACTGCCACCGCCGCCGCCGCGGAGGCCCGTTCCGGCAGCGGCAGCGACCGCCGAATTGCGGCTGCCAAAAGGGCCTGTGCCAGCAGCACCGGCGTCTGCGGCAGAGGCGGCGACGGCGATACCGTTGCGGCCACCGAAAGGCCCTACAGCGGTATCAGTGGCGGCAGCGGCAGAGCCGCCTCCGCCTCCGCCTCCTCTGCAACGATGCAGTGCTGGGCCCTCGGCTCGAAGGCTGCTGCCACTGGCGCCGGAGCGGTCGCTGCCGGAGCTGCCGCGCATCCGCAGAGCCCTCGACCCTTCGCCACCGCCGCCGCCGCCGCCAGGGGGACGCATTGCGTTGACGGCGGTGGCGGCGCCACCACTGCCGCCATGGCTTCCACGACTTCCGGTCTCATCGGGTGCGACGCCACCACCCGCCGCGTCCTGCACCCTCGCACCCCCTCTTCCTCTCCTCCCCCCTCCTTCATCACCGCCTTCCCCCCCAGCCGCCTCAACGGCCTCCACCACAGCCTCGCAACCGGGCCGCCCGCCTCCACCACCTGCGGCCCGACCATCCTCGCCAACTGCATGACCGTGGCGCTGGCTCCCTCCTCCACTCCCGCTGCCGCCGCTGCCAACCGCCGCGACCCCCCCGCTGCCTCCGCCAGCCGCCTGAGCCGCAATGGCCGCCAGCAGCTCCTTGGGTAGCCCCGTCGTGAAGGGAGTGGCGTGGATCTCGGATAGGGACACCGCCTGACAGTTCAGGAAGGAGGGGAGGGAAAGACGAACCACGAACGAGTGAAGCTGCTGCCATGGAAAGAGTGTACCAGACGTAGAACTGACCAAACGGCGTCCTTGAAGTGCGGCGACCTCGGGATGACGTAGTGAAGAAGATGTCGGAAAACTACCTACCTAGCCGCCAAGACTAAAATAATCGCGGAAGAAAAGCAGTAATGCCAAGGCGTAAAGAAGGAGGGGAGGGACTAGTGACACGTGTTCAAGTATGATCGCTGTCTGTGGTTCAGTCCACATACGGCATGTGCGGGACCGAAGACCACCACCCACCTCAGGGACGTCCGGCTTGAAGGCAGCAGAGTCCGCTCTGACCAGTGAACCCAGTCCCATACTCAAAGTTGGCTGGCGAGAGAGATCGAATGCGCCGCCGTCGCCGCCGTCACCATGTCCACCATTGTGCGACAGACCTGAGACCCTGTGGTTCATGCAGCCGTACAATCGAAAAAGTGACGGTGGCGGAAGCAGTATCGGCGGCAGTAGTAAGGCAGCCGGGGTGGGTCGCGTGGCCGGGTGAAGAGCCCAACAGGGGGTGAAAGGCGGATGGGACCTAAAATGCCTTTATCGTAAATGATTATAAAGCCGATTTGTTTGGGCTGGCAGACGGGTTCATGCAATACAGGAGCGAGGGCGACGACTAAATCCTAAAGTTTCACGCAGCATGTATGATGTGTGCGTGCATGCGTGCGGCGGCAGCAGCACCCATCGACGCCGACACCAACGCCCGTTACAATCCGTGTAACCCCGAAAAGGACAAATGGCCCATCATCGCGAGCTTCAGGCCGGCCAGAGCGCCGCTCACATGGTCGCACCGGACGGCCCTCCCCCCACCTCACCTTCTCTCCGCGCCATGGCCACCGCCGTCACCATTGCCGCTACTCCCCGCATCGCCAGTGCCGCCGATAACAATGCCACTGTCGTAGCCCAGGCGCCGCCGCTTACAGAAAACCTTTACAGGATACAACAATCAGTGAGCTTGGCGTAGATGGTGCTGGCCCTGGCGTCAGGGTCGTCCTCTCCCGCAGGGCGCTCACGCTCCGGGTCGAAATAAGCCGTCAGCGCAGCGCTCTCATCGAGCACACGGCATAGCGGCCGATAGATGCTGATCCACCTGTAGAGTCGGACAAATGTAGCAATTTGTAAATGCACAGACTTGCAAGGTATAGGTCTTGGTATCCATCCTGGCTTAGGCAAGCCAAGCAGTAAGCTAAGCAGTCAAACATGCCAGGCAAAAGTACTAGCAAAACCCGCGAACCTTCCCGATCACATTACCCACCTTGGCTCCACGTTCTTCAGCATGCGGTTGCCGCGAGTGCCAGCCTCTGACGCCACCCGCTTGAGCGCAGTTATGCGCTTCGAGCTGCGCGAGAAGTGGCTGTGCACGTTGGTGAGCAGCTGGACTATGCGCTCAATGATGGCTGCCACGTTGAGCACTTCCGCTGCGAGGTCCGTCCGGTGCGCCATGCAGTGAATGGTGACCAGGAAGGGCGCGCTTTCTTTTCTCCAGTACCGTTGCAGGCTCGCGGGCGCGCTTTGCAGCTGCGGTGCGCTCGCGGCTCATAGCTCGTGCGGCCGGGGCGCAGCGCGGTGTTATTAAATAAAAGAGAAAACACGGTGAAATGCAAAGTGCAGATGCCAGGAAGATGTTCAGTTGGCGTGCCCGACACCGGGCACCCTTAGGACGTGTTCACATGTGGGCGAATCAGGGTTGATTCATGCGAATTGGACTCTGAATTGGACCTGATTGGACCCGAATCGGAATTGGGGTCCGGGGGGGCCTCTTCGGGTATGATTCGACGTGATTCACAGTTTTCTTTCTCAAAACAAAGTTGTTTAACAAACCGTTTCTCATAATTGTTGAGGAAAATGTTGTCCGGTCAGTCTGTCGCCTGATGCTTGCGTGATGCTTGGTTTCTGGATAGAGTGGAGCCATCTTCCGTACTTGCTGATCGACTGTCGAACTCGTGAATAAATAGGAATGAGCCAGCGATTATCTTTGGTCTGGTATGCTTCTAGAGTAGTGAGTTGTGGCTGAGCTGAGCCGTTAGTCGCTTTGTAAACGCTCTGGCAATCACTATTGCGTCCAAATCCATTCAGCCTTCAAGAGGTTATGAGCCCCGCGCTCTAAAATGGTGATCGATTCATTGTGGAACACTCGCTTTGACGGATCTGACTACGTCACTTGGTCCAGATATGGGAAGTCAGCCCTCATGGCGAAGGGCTTTTGGAGTGTCGTCGAGAAGGGTGTCCCCGCCGGCGACGCCGCCGCACAGGAGCTGGACCGCAAGGCCCACGCGGAGATCGCGCTGAGATTGGCCAAGAATGTGTTGGACTATGCCGAGAGCTATAACACAGCCAAGGAACTTTGGGACACTTTGCACCGCAGCTACGCAGCAAGCTGCAGCGCTCGACAGATGTCAACGCACCAAAAGTTTACGAATCTGAAGATGGCCAGCTCCGAGTCATTAGTTGAGTACCTGTTTCGCGTCAAAGACATTGTGAGTGAAATGCGGGAAGCAGGTTCGGGTTTGGCCAAAGACAGCAAAACCATCGTTATGCAAGCGGTACAGGGGCTTAGCGACTCCTTCGAGGTAGCCCGACAACATTTGCTTATGGGTGCAATGCCATCGGATCTAGCTGCTCTGGAGAACATTCTGTTGCCGGTGGAGCAGGCAACCAGGAACAGCGTGACCACGGATCCCGTCGCCGTCGCCCTATCATCTCGCAATGCCATTAAGTGTTACAACTGCGGTAAACCTGGACATAAGGCGCGATTCTGTAAGTCGCCTGGTAACTCCGGGGCAAGTACATCGACCGCGCCAACCACCTCGACAGCTGGGTGCTGGATTCCGGTTCCCAGTACCACATGTCTCCCGATTCTACGTGCCTCTGGAACTACCAGAAGATCGACGGTGACATGTTCGTTGAGATCGCGGACGGTAGGCGACTTCGTGTAGTTGGTTTTGGGGATCTGCGCGTACTTAGTGATCAGGACGAGGTTTTGGAATTTACCGGAGTATTCCATGTCCCGGGATTCAAGCACCGCTTGTTGTCTGTCCGTGTCCTCGTTGAGAAAGGAGCGAGTGTGGAATTTTTGGGGATCTACGGAAGCTCCGAACGAGGACTCCCATATAGTCGGAAGAGTTGGAATTCGCGAGAAGGTTTCCTACCAGCCCGTTTATTACCCGTTAGGGTTCGTCCACCTCTGCGGGCACCTAAGGCTGTTGTCAGGAGTAGCGACGGTACCTGGTCTCATAGCTTCCCTTATTCTCGGGGAGCTTACCGCCTGAAGGGTACTATGATTTTGCCTGAAACCCCCGCGCCAGTCAATGCGTTTTCATCCAGGTCTGTGTCCGATGCCTACCTTTGGCACTGCCGGCTTGGTCATCTGAGCTTTCGGAACCTGGCTCGTCTGGTTGACGGTGGTATGGTCACCGGGATCGATGTACCGGCGAAGGACTTTCGTGTAGAGGGTGAGTCGGTATGCAGCACATGCGTCGAGGCCAAATTGTCACGTTCGCCGTTCAGTTCTAGTGGAAATCGTGCAGATAATAAGTTGGCTTTGGTACATATGGATGTGTGTGGTCCGCTTCCTGTCACCTCCAGTGATGGCCATTCGTACATTGCTACGTTTTTGGACGATTTTTCACGTATGTCAGTTGTTTGCCTTCTGTCGCGAAAGGATCAGGTGGCGAGTTGTGTGAAGGAGATGCTGACTATGTTAGAAAATCAGTGCGGAGAGAAGACTAAGGTAGTTCGTACGGATAGGGGTCGGGAGTATCTTAACGCGGAGTTAGCGGCGTGGTACAAGGATAGGGGCATTATCAATCAGACCACCGCTCCATACACGCCACAGCAAAATGGGTCGGCAGAGCGTCTAAATCGCACGTTGATGGAGAAGGTGCGCGCGATGCTTTTTCAGGCCGATTTGCCCAAATCTTCTTGGGGCAATGCTGCTATTACTGCTAATTATTTGCGAAACAGGTCTCCTGTTAATGATTTGCCTAGTACCCCTTACGAACTGCTTTTCGGCTCTAAGCCCGACCTTTCCGATTTGCGTGTTTTTGGTTGTGTAGCGTACGTTCTCATCCCTAAGCAAAATAGGGATAAGCTTGATAAAGTTGCGTCGCGAGGTATTTTTGTAGGATACGAGGCCGGTTCTAGGGCCTATCGCGTCTTTGTCCCCGAACTCAATAGAGTAGTAGTGAGTCGGGACGTTAAATTCGATGAGGAGTCTGTGCTTGCATCGTTTTGGGATGATACTTCTGATGATGAGGTGCAAAACCGGGTAGAAAATGTTAATCCGGTTCTAGACGACTCCGATGATGAGCCGGCACCTAGTGGGGTTACCGCCGTTCAAGTGCGTGGGAGCCCTAGTGGTAGCGTTTCGTCGGGTCCTTCTCCACCCGCACCAGTGTCGGCTTCGGAGGGCGGGGGGGGAGAGGTTACTAGTGGATCTACTGCTTCGCCTCCTGCGCCTCCTGTTCCACATGCGCCTCCAGTTCCACTTGTACCTTCGGTTGAATTAGAGGGACTAAGGCGATCTACAAGATGCAACTTGGGTGTTCCTCCCGCTAGGTACTGTGATGTGGCGTTAGCTTTTGGTGCTGTTAATATTGACGAAGAGCCCAAATCGTTGAAGGAAGCTCTTAGTCGTCCCGATGCTAGTCACTGGAAGGCTGCGTGTGACGAGGAAGTTAAAGCGCTATTGTCCAATAATACGTTTACGCTGCAACCGCCTCCACCTGGAGTTGCACCCATTCCTCTCATTTGGGTCTTCAAGCGTAAGCGGGATGAGCATGGAAACATCGAACGTTATCGTGCGCGTTTGGTAGCGCAAGGTTTTCGCCAAGAGGAAGGGATAGATTTCGATGAAGTATTCGCGCCTGTGGGAAAGCACACCACCCTTCGTGCTCTGCTTTCTGTTGTAGCTGCGCGTGGTCTAGTTCTGGAACAGATGGATGTCAAGACCGCGTTTCTTAACGGAGATCTAGAAGAGCCTGTGTTTTGCGGCAAGCCGCCAGGCTATGACCTTGGTGGACCTGATGATGCTTGTTTGCTTCACAAATCGCTTTACGGTCTGCAGCAGTCTCCGCGAGCGTGGTATGTTAAGCTCAAGGAGGAGTTGAGGAAGATGGGCTTCAAGCCTACTGCTGCCGATCCTGCTATGTTTGTCCATGGCGAGGGGGATGATCGTGTTTATTTCTTGATCAACGTGGATGACTCCCTCACGGCTGCTAAATGCCAAGAATTGGTTAACGAGGTGAAAAGACGTTTGATGGAGGTCTTCGAGACGAGAGACCTAGGGCCTGTCGATCGTTTCGTTGGTATGGAGATCAAAAGAAGCGTAAACGAAAAGTGGCTGAAGTTGTCACAGCGGAAGTACACTGAAGGCCTGTTGTCGAAGTTTGGTTTTGCTGATGCCAACGGTCGCGCTACACCGCTTTCGCCTGGAGTTCAGCTTCGTGTTGCTGAAGAGGGGGATGAGTCTGTGGGCAACGAGTATCGCGAGCTAGTGGGCGGACTTATGTATCTTTCGTCCTGTACTAGGCCGGACATTTCTCAGGCCGTGGGAGCGCTCGCACGTCATATGTCGAAACCCACCAATGACCACCTTTTGACGGCTAAGGGTGTTTTGCGGTATCTGGCTGGTACGCGCGATTTTGGTTTGGTGTTCGAAGGGAACGGTGGCCTGCAGGGTTTTGCCGACGCTGATTACGCTGGTTGCCCTGATACCCGTAGGTCGACCACTGGCTTTGTGTTTTTGCATTCGAACGCGGCTGTTAGTTGGTCCAGTCGTGTCCAGCCTACTGTGGCAGTTTCGACTGCTGAAGCTGAGTACATGGCTGCCGCGGCTGCTACGCGAGAAGCTTTGTGGTTGAGGCAATTGTTCCTGGAGTTGGGGGTTGACGCTAACTGCGTCAGCATAGCGTGCGATAATAAGGCAGCTATTTCTCTTATCGAGAATCCTGGTTCTTCGGTGCGAACTAAGCACATAGATGTCGCTCACCACTTCGTACGAGAGCGAGTTGAGCGAAGCGAGGTTTGTTTTCGTTATTGTGGTACGGCTGATATGGTCGCCGATTGCATGACGAAACCGTTGAGTCATGCGATGTTTAAGCGATTCCGTTTGGCTATGGGAGTGC